CCTGACCAGGACCAAGGAGAGGGTTTTCATTTACTCACACCATAACTTTTCCCTGTTATGAGTTGAAACACCTTCTCAAGACAAAAACCGCATACGGAGGATTCTTCCCCAAGACCAAACCTACTGCTCTTTTTTTACCCGTGTAAAATCCTAGAGGAGAAGTTCTCAACCTTGGCTGCACATTAGAATCACCTGGGAATCCAAGGATTTTAAAAAGATTCCCAGGTGATTCTAATGTGCAGCCAAGGTTGAGAACCACTGTTCTAGTGGTTTGAACACCCACGTGTTACAAACATTGGGATCAGGTGCCTGAGTTTTGGAGCTGTTTTCCCCCTGTGTCAGCCGGGTTTCCATCCGCGCAGCGCTCCTGGCTGTAGACTGTCGCTCCTGTAAACCTGTCAGTTGTTGCTTTGTTAGGAGCCTGGGGCTGCTGGCTGTGCGTGGCCTCAGAGCCCTCCCGTCCCCGGGTTGCCAGTGTGTGCCGGTGTTGGCGCTAGAGAAGGAGTGAAATTTAGAGTGTGCGGAGGTGGGTGGCAGAGGGCCAGGAGAGGTTCCTGGTGGGGGAACTAGAGAGTGGAGAAAGCACGGGTAGCGGGGTACAGCTTGAAACCTCCCAGCACGAGCCAGGAGCTGTATGTGGCGTCCAGGAAGTTGCAAGAGCAGCAGAGCCCGAGCGAGTACCAGGGCAGTCCCGGCTCTGCCTGGTCATGAGTCCTCCCAAAGGGGCACAGTGACAGCACCGGGTCCGGGACTGATGGGTGAGTTACCGCATGCCTGGCACAGAGCAGCCCTCCGGGAGACCTGCATGTCTCCGTGTCTCCCACCTCCGTGACAGCAAAGTTGGGGGACTCCTGGACTTAAACTTACTATCGTGACCCGAGACCCCCCTCAGCCTTTTGAGACCCACATCAATTGGCCTGTGGGAGGACGACACCCCACAGCAGCCTGGGAACCCAAACATCCAGACTGTGACACCAGCCAGGTCACCCCGCCCCCTGCACCTCGGTCTGTAAAGGGAACGTGGAGACTGGCTCGTCAGTGCAGGCTGGTTCAGTGACAGTGAATTCAAATTGTGGGTGTTTGGGTCTTCAGCAAGCCAGCCACAGCTCTTTGCAAAACAAGCGGGATATTAACGACAAGGAATTTATACCTGGCATTCGGCTAAAATCCTGCCTTTAAAAACACGTGGACAGGTGAAGCTGGGTTGGGCCTGTCTCAAAGCCTGGTGTGATTTCCTCCCTTGCAGGGTGCTGGTGCACCTGAGCCGTGGCGGGGCTGAGGTCCAGATCTTCGCTCCTAACGTCCCTCAGATGCACGTGATTGACCACACCAAGGGGCAGCCTTCTGAGAGCGAGACCAGGTGTGGGTCCTCCCCCTCTCGTCCTTGACTGTGAGCTCCCCGAGAACCTGCACGCATAGCTCTTTCAGCCCAGTCAGGGCCAATCTGTTCAAATGAGCATCCTTCCTTCACGCTCTTGTCCTCTGGTCTGCACTAATGCAGCGAGCCGGAATGTCACTGTCCACACTTACCTTCCATTCCTCACCAAAACAAGTTACTGCAGGGTGAGCTCCATACTTTGTTCTGACCAAAGGGGTGCGCCTCAGTTTGTCTGCCGCCTCACTCACCTGCCTGGGCCCACATGTCTTTGAGTAGCTCCCAGCAGTGTTTCTGTTCCTGCGGCCCCGGGTGCTTGAGATCTTCTCCCCTCCTGTCCTGCCCTCCTGTCCTGCCGGGACCACAGGGAATGGCCCCTGGAGGCTGTGGTTCCCGACACCTTCCAGCTGGAGTCAGACAGTGGGAGATGGGCCAGGGGAAGAAACTGCAGCTCTGCCTGCTGGGGGTGGGTCCTAGTCAGGACCCTGGCCTAGGGTGGCAGTGGCTCCCACTGTGGTTGCTGCACTCACCCGGCGCAGGAGCTTCCTAACTTCCCCACCGCCACCCTGCCCATCAGTTCCACATTAGTGCTGTCTGCTTCAGACACTTGGGGTCTGCCTTCCTGGGGGCCCCTGACTGATGCAGGAGGCTCCAGATGGCCCGGGTGGGCTGTGAGGTGCTGATCTGAAGGGTCCAGCAGACATTTATGTCCCTGTAGCTTTAACTGCCTTTTCTGCGTATTGACATGAAATTCATGTGTGAGCATGCTCCCTGGGGCTGAGAAAACACGGCCTCTTGTCTTGTGGGCTCCTACCTGCCATTCTCCCGTCTGCGCTGAACCTTTTCTTGGCTTCTTTGTGCTCTTTCCCAGGAATGTTCTGGCTGAGTCGGCAAGGATCGCCCGTGGCAAGATCACTGACCTGGCCCAGCTAAGTGCAGCCAACCATGATGCCGCCATCTTTCCTGGGGGCTTTGGAGCTGCCAAAAACCTGTGAGTGTTTGAGCTTGGGGCCTTGTGCTTTTTACCTGGAGCAATAGATGGGGACCAGGTGGCGACATGAGCCACTGCCGAGGTCTCGGGTCCAAACGATGCAAGTAGCTGCTCTGATGGAACCAATGCAGGATGGGACTCAGGTCACATTTTGGCAAGACTTGAATTTTCCTCGACCTGCTCCTTTCCGAGCCCTCCTGGCACCTGGCCGCTGTTGTGGGTGTGACTTCTCTGACCTAACCTCTGTGCAGGTGTGTCTGTTCCTGCGGGCGCCCACGCTCCTGTGGGCCGTGGGGCGCAGAAAAGTGTTTTTTTTTCCGGTCACCTGACTGTCCTGACTGGAGCCCTTGGGTCTTTGCCACGGCAGCTGCCTGGGAGCCTGGGAGGCCGTCACTATGACGTTCTTGGGGTTTCAGGTCCTCTTTCTCTTCCCTCCTTCCTTGTTTCTGAGTTTCATGGAAATTGTCTGCACTGGCCTCTGTCCCAGGACCTGTCTCCTGTGGTGGGCAGGGGGATTCACGTCACAGCTGTGTGAACACGCAATGTAATATGTATGACACCCTGACTCTATGCGTTTATTGGAAACAGCAGATCAGCAAATAGGCCCCGGATGGAGCATTTTTCTGTGTCACTTAGAAGAACGTTCCTTCCCAAGCCCGGGGTCTGTGATGAAACCACCTAACTGTGACCGCAGGCAGCCAGCCCAGGGCATTCCTTTCCACTGACTAGGTCATTCCTGGGGCTCTGCAGCTTCCTTGCTCCCCACCCTCTGCTGGCGGCGCTTGCCCGTGTAGTGCTCCAGGAATCACCACTTCCTCTTGTTGCTCTCTCCTCATCCCCTTAGCTCCTGAACTGAGAGGGTGCTGCTCTCCCACAGCCCTTCCAGGCCCACCCCCTTTGGGTCCTCGCCGTGCTGTTCACACCTCTTTTTGCAGGTGTCTACGTAGGCGCTCCCTCCTAGGTGACTTTTCTGGGTGCTGTTGGGCCTGTCCTGATCGCCGGGCCCAGGGGTCCTTTGTGTACTCCTCATGGAGTCTCCGCCTCCCTCCTGCAGCCCCTTCCCATTCTCCCCATGAATTGCATTCACATGTTGCCTGGCTGCCATCATGTTTGGAGTGCAGACCTCCCCCTATCGACCCACATTTCCAGCTGCCTGCCCCAGAGTCCTGTTGGAACATCTTGCTGATCTTTAGAGCTGACTCCCTCACCTGTACTCACCTGTCATCAGAGTCAGCGAGAGGGGAGATGGGGCAGGGGAAGCTTCAAGCCTCAGCCAGGGTCCTTGCTCAGTATCCCCCATCACCCTGTTGGGACAGTTGACCCCCATGCTGGCTCTGTCCGTCTGAGCGTCCTGCACCCAGAAGTGATGGGCAGAGGTGGTATGTCCCCTAAAGTTTGACTCTGCTCAAGGCCACTCCTGATGCCTCCAGATCCAGCCCCTAGAAGGCTGCTTTTCTGCCGGGAGGGAGCCCTGTCCCTGCCTCACACCCACTCCCTGTCCCCAAAACCAGCCATTCAAGTGACTTCCCCATGTCACCATCTTCACGAGCTTCCTGGTAGGAGATGGCAGAGAACTGTCTGGATCAGCAAGGCTTTTCACTTGCGACAGGACCAGGATTTCTTAGGAATATGAGCTGGCTTCACAAACCGCTGGCCTTACCTCTGACCGTTAGCACCACCCCTGGGGCGTGTCCCCAGCATGGCTGACACCATACCTGGTTGGCTTAGGAGCTCAGACAGGAGGTGCACCGGGTTCTTGGTGTGTCTGTTTCTCGGTGTTAAAGGGTGTGGGGCACCTTGGGCCAGCATGCACTTCTGGCCGCTGGCCCCATTCTTTCCTGCCTTCCCAGAAGAAAGGCCCGCTCCTACATCAGCGATTTCCTACGTGGTGGCTGCTGTGGTCATTTGGGTGCAGCACATGGCAGCAGGCGAGTTCAGTAGTGACAGAAGTCACTCGGTTCCTCCTGGTGGGACCCCGGCCGCCTCCCTGGCACTGTTACTAGCTTTTGTGTGTATTTCCTGAGATATTCACATATGTGGTTGTGTTAAAATTCTAACCAGATGGTAGCCTCGTAACTGTGTGGCTTATTGGTCCGTTAATAGTCTAACAGCTGCAAACATCCCACTGGGTGGATGACCTGACTTTGGTAGGTGCTCATGATGTCCAGTCCTCTTTTCTTCTAATAGCGTTTTGGTGGTACAGTTGACATGCATATTTTAAATGATGCATTTTGACGTGTCAGGAGAGTGACCACCCGTCAGTCCTTTGTGCCAACGCCATGCAGGTGTGTAGGATGGAGGAGTGGGACCCACAGACGGAACACAGGGAAGCCCAGCGTGTGGCTCTTGGCAAAGAGGGTGCACTTTGAAATTCGACGGGTCTCTCCCAGTTGCCTTCCATAGAGATGGCACAGGCAGGGCATACCCACCACCTGGAAGGGCAGCCTATTCCAGACCCTGAGCCACTCCTGCTCTGCAGAAAAAGACGGTGTCTTGTTAAATTTGCATTCCTTTCCCTTGCCAGTCAGGTGGAGCACCTGTCACTGGCTTTAGGCCAGTGCAGACCTCCGAGGACCAGGTGGTGTGGCTCGCAGTCCGAGGCTTCAGCTAGCTCTGAGTCTGCTTTTCCCACCTCACCTCTGCTGCCCCACGTCCCTCCTCCCGCTTACCATACAAAACAAAACAAACAGAAAAATATACAGTGATAATGAGAAGTCACGTGTGTACATGAGCACACTCACAGGCTAATCATTTCCATTGCTGAGGAATCCATGGAACCACATGTCAGATCTCAGTGTGGCAAATAGCCAGGGGCTCTGAGATGTAAGGCAACCTGTTCTCACTGTAGGAGCACATTCGCCGTGGACGGGAAAGACTGCAAAGTCAACAAAGACGTGGAGCGCGTCCTGAAGGACTTCCACAAGGCGGGGAAGCCCATCGGGTAGGTTCTGCTGGCCCAGGAGCAGGCCGGGGGGCAGGAGGGCCTCTGGTGACTGGCAGTGGTGGGGAGGGCAGGGGGCCGGGGCCAGGGCCTGGGGCTCGTAACTGGGAGCTGCCACTCTGAGCTGCATGGTCTTGAAAACTTGGCCCGTTTCCTCGTTTTATCTGAGGGATTTCACAGGTGCCTTCCAGCTCTGAAAATTCTGTAGTCTTGTGGTTACATTAGTTTCTCCTGATGACTTAACAGGAAGGAGAGGGGGTGATTGTCAGGTTTCAGAATGTTCTCCAGTCAGTCTTTCCCTGACCACCATCCTTTCCCAGCACCCCTGCCCCTTGCCTGGCCGCCATCCGCCCTCCTGTCCTTGCTCAGCTAGTTAGCCCTTGTCTTCCACTCTCACTGCTGCTGTGCGCACTGTTCCTGCCACCATGTCATCCTCAATTGCCCTCTCTTCCTTGTGGAGCCTGGATCCTGAGGCCGGCCGCACACTAGGGTCCCCTTGCTTCTCTGCACCCCCAAACTCATCGGCACAACCATTGCTCATGTCACAGCCCCTGGTCCTTGGTCTTGACGGACAGGTGAGGCTGGCCATACCTGCAACCAGGAGGGGCTCAGAAACGTGTGATGGCAACCCTGTTATAAGACCTGATTTCATCAGACTTTCGTGTCCACAAGTGTCCCAGTGGCTGCTTCTCACTCCTGCTGCATGGTCTGTCTGCGTCAGTGAGCCGGAGCGCGAGCATCTCCCGCCTTTGGAGCCGGTCACTAGGAGACGGCTTGGCAGGAGCACAGTGCACACACTACGAACAAATTCGCGGGATGCAAACTTGAGGCCGCTCCTGGCTCCCATGGGTGCTGCTTGCTACCGTGTTACTGGCGAACCTAAAAGGAGCAGCTTATGTTAGACCCCTTCATCCCAGTGGGAGACAGGCTGCTGAGGACAGCCCCCGCTGACAGCGTCTCACAGACCTTCGGTCACTTACAGAGCCGGCCCTGCAGCACCACCAGTGCCAGCCTAGGGTGCCAGCCTGAGCGGTCTGTGCGTGTGCCTCCTGCCCACCTCCTAGACTGGACCTGTGAAGCAGGCTGGTGCCATCCACGCTGCACGTCTCCCCTCAGAGCTGCAGAGGCTCTGCCTCCCTGACCCTGTCTCCTTCGCCTTTCAGCTTGTGCTGCATCGCTCCTGTCCTCGCGGCCAAAGTGCTTCCTGGCGTCGAGGTCACCGTGGGCCACGAGCAGGAGGAAGGCGGCAAGTGGCCGTATGCCGGGACCGCAGAAGCCATCAAAGCCATGGGTGCCAAGCACTGTGTGAAGGGAGTGACCATATCCTTTCCAGCAGCTGGGGACCCGTGTGGCGAGGGGTCTCCCTCTTCTGTGGCTGGGCAAGCAATGTCTCCAACCAGGAACTGCGCCGAGCGCCGTGGGCGTAGAGAGCCTCGGGCAAAAACGGGTCACGCCCCGGGTCTGCACCTGGACCTGGAGGATGTCCTGGCGATGACCACGTCACCTCTGGGCGCCTGCCTGTGCTGAAGGTGGCTTCATCCTTAGTGTCTTTATGAGCAGTGAGTTTCAGGTGTCCCTGTGCGCCCCCCCTCCCCAGCGCAGAGCAGCCAGCAGACCCGTGGCCGGTCCGGTCGGAAGGAGCCGGGCTGGCCCGGGGTTCTGTGTAGTCCAGGGCAGATGGGGCGAGGCCAGTTCTGTCACCTCCAGGGTCTGTGAGCTGGGGTGGGGAGGCGGGTCCCAGGTGGACTTGGCCTCTGCTCTGCTGTTGCAGGCACGCAGGTGAACTCTTAGTTTTCTTGATCTGAAAAGCAGAGGTGCTGCTGCCGCCTTCAGGGTTGTGGGTACCAAGGGGCACTGCTGTACAGCTTCATGAGGCCGACATGGTCCGCTGAGGTGCAAGCTGCTTTCTTCCTCTTGGGAGCGTGCTGGTCACGTTCTCGTGTAGTTCAGCCGCACAGATTGTGCAGAAGTGGCCCTGCCAGCAGGTTCCTCCAGGAAGAATGTCCCCCCCAAACCCCAGTCACCTTGGGAAGGACGGGACGCTTGTTCTGAGGCAGCTGGGAGCAGTGGCCGGGACGTGCTTTGCGCCTAAAACTTCCCCTCATCCTTACTGGGTAGTGTTTCCCTAACTTCTGTGCACGAAGCTCACGTGGACCAGAAAAACAAGGTGGTCACGACCCCAGCCTTCATGTGTGAGACGGCGCTCCACCACATCCATGACGGGATCGGGGCCATGGTGACGAAGGTGCTGGAGCTTGCCAGGAAGTGAGCCGCCGGGCTCTGGGCTCTGGCTTCGCTTCTTCCACCAGGCGGAGCTGGCGGCCTGTTGTCCTGTCCAGCTTGGAATATGACACACGGGGTCGGATAATTGGTGTGAGAGTCGTCATCAGCTCTGATCAGCTCAACTTCCTTCCAAGAGGAGGGAGGCAGAGCCCACGCCCTGGAGAGGCTGCTGGAGTCCCCCACCTGTAGGATGGAGTAGCAACTGGACTCCTGGTGCCTCCCGGGAATGACAGTCAGCTTTCTCACGAAGCCAGTCAGGTGGAGGTATTATATAACCTCAGGTTTGCCTAGCTTCAGAATACTTAGTGTTTGGAAGGGAAAATAATTTTAAGTTTATAAATGTAATAATCGGAAAACTTGAAACATGGTTATTAACAATTAAAGATTCTCTAACCTGGAGTAAACATGGACTCATTAAAATGTTACTGGGATTTCTGTAGTAGGCAGCCACGTGTCAGGTCTTCTGAAATGGGCAAATGAGGAATGTAAATGAGGTTTCTTAATTAGTCTCAGTTCTCGTAAATTTCAGGAAGAAATTGCAATCCTCAGCCTGGGTGGTGGGCCTGCTGGGTAGTGGCTGTGAGGTGGTCCCAGGCACGAGCAGCAGCTGACACAGATGTATCCAGACGGCACAGTACTTTCTGTTGTGTTCCTCTTGAGAGTGTGGTTTCTGTTATGGGGAGAGGGCTTTCGGGGTGACCACCCAAGTGTGGAGCACCTTTCCCCTTCAGTCTGTCTTCTGTGCCCCTGGGGGGCACTCTGGACACACGGACGCCACCGTGTTTGTGCTTTGTTTGGTTTTGAGAAAGCTCTTGGGTGGAAGCAGCTGGATTGTTTCGTTTGGTTCAGCTCACACTGCCCTGTGTCGGAGGCGGCCTGGGAACGGGTGCAGAGACAGCCTGCCACTCCGCTCCTCCCCGACCCCTGCCAGGGAGGGTGAGATGATGGACTCCCCTCTGCTGGTTTTCTGGGGTGTGATTCCTGGCACCACGCTTGCCCAGGCCCTCTGGCTCACCAGCGTCTGTTTCAGCCCCTGACATTCCAGCCCTTTCTCCACGGGAACCCCATTGTTTGGCGACCAGCTTTTCTCCCACTGAAGCTGGGCCCGTGGGCAAGAGCCCCCTTGATGCACCTGCCAGCACCAGCCATAGGGCCAGGCCTATGTGCTGCTAAAGGGAACCTCGCTGGAGGGCAGGTAACAGGTTGAAGTCTCCTCCCTAAGAAGGTTGTTGATTGAAGCACTGCTCGTGTGTGTGCATGCGCGAGCATATGGCAGAATGCGCAGATCCCAAGCGTGCGCCTCGGCGAGTTCTCACAGTGATGCACTCAGGAACCTCCACTCGGACCCAGAGACCTCAGCCCCAGACCTGAGCCCGCAGGTGCCGGTGCGTCTCGGCTCGAGAACAGGGGAGCCTTGGCCGTGTGGCTTCCCCTATGGGAGAATCTCCAAACGGGTGTCTCCACTGGGGTGTTGCTCACGTTCCGCGCCTCCACCAACGTCTCATCGTGTTCCCTGCACTGTCACGGGCGGCTGCCAGGCTGTGGGCAGAGCAGGGATGTTGTGCAGCTTTAGTGGGAAGTCGGCAGCGCTCCTGCGTATCCATGCTGTGTGCCACCAGCACACGTGTCCCGCTCTCCCGCCTGCTGGTGCGGTTGGCCATCGGTCTCATTCCAGCACCCTGGTGGGTAGTGGTGTCTCCCTGATGTCCACTGAGGCTGATGACCTTTTTATGTATTTTTCAGCCTTTTGGCAATCCTCTTTTGTGAAGGACCTGTCGGGCTCCGGTGGTTGTCTGTCTTGTCATTGGGGTTGCATTTGTGTTCTGGCTACAAGGCCTTTGTCAGTTAAGTGGGTTACCCATATTGTTTCCCCACTGTCTTCATTCTCAAGGGCGTCTTGGTGAGCAGATATTCCTCATGTTGTTAAAATATTTTTTTATTGCCCTAACTGGTTTGGCTCAGTGGATAGAGCGTCGGCCTGCGGACTCAAGGACCCCAGGTTCGACTCTGGTCAAGGGCATGTACCTTGGTTGTGGGCACATACCCAGTAGGGATTGTGCAGGAGGCAGCTGATTGATGTTTCTAACTATCCCTCTCCCTTCTCTGTAAAAAATCAATAAAATATTTTTTTAAAATATTTTTTTACTGGTTTCAGAGAGGAAGCAAGAGGGAGAGAGAGATAGAAACATCAATGATGAGAGAGAATCATTGATCGGCTGCCTCCTGCATGCCCCTACTGGGGATCGAGCCCACAACTTAGGCATGTGCCCTTGACCAGAATCGAACCTGGGACTCTTCAGTCCACAGGCCGACACTCTACCCACTGAGCCAAACGGCTAGGGCAGTCCTCATTTTTATGTGGCCCATTGATCACCCTTCACACTTGTGTTTCTCTGTTATTCCTCTCCGCCCCCCATCATGACGGCATTTTCCTGTGTTGTCGTCTGTTACCTGTTGTTTCACCTTCATTCAGATCAGTGGTTCATCTAGAATCAAAGTTTGTGACTCCATCTGCTCTGCAGTGTGGTTTGTCTCTTCTGGAAATGCCAGGGGATGGGCCCTCGGAACGGAGCCCTGGGCGGGGGCAGCACCACTCCCCTACCTCTACCCACTCCGGGCTCACCCCCAGGGCTTGGCGATCAGAGGTGCTGTGGACAGGGTGCCCGAGAAATGGAGCCTGCGCTCGGGGAACAACAGGCTGGCTGGGTTTCACCTCCTCTCACTTCTGCTTCACCTGCGGTGACCTGGCCAAAGGGCAGGTGACCAGGGAAGGGAGAACTTACAAGGAAACCCCAGAAAGCGATCGTGTGTCCCTCAGTCCTCAGGCACTTCCCTTGTGTACTTGGCTACTGTGCATCTCATGGCTTTTCCTTGAGGTGCTAATGGCCCGGGTCTGATGGCACTTCCCTGCCCTTCCTGAGACCCCACTGTGCTGGGGAAATAGGGCCACCGCCAACACACGTGGCTCCACGTTTCTGCGCCCGTCCCAACTGCATCTGCCCACATAACCCGAGCAGAGGCCTGGGCAGTGGGTTCCTGACATTCCCGTCATAAGGCTAAGCTGGGACTTGGGTCAGGCAAAGACTGCTGCTCAAATCTGAAACGTTGGAGAGGCCCCAGCAGTCCGAACCCGAGTTCAGTCAGTTATTTGTTGGACGATTGAGTGCCTACTGCATGCCCAGAGCCAGAGGAAACGGGCAGACGTGACCCCAGCACTCACGGAGCTTGTGATGTTCCAGGCTGGGGGCACGGCTGGTACATAGGCAGATGAGCCATGGAGCCAACAGACTGTGGAGGACGCCTGGACACACTGGGAAGGAGGGCCAGTGGGGCCCGGGTGGTCAGGGACGAGAGGAGACAAGGCACCTCTGAGGATGAAGTGGAGTGAGCAGGTGGCTATGTGTGCAGAACATTCCAGACAGGAGTGGCCGGTGCAGAGGCTCAGTGGGAGCACCAGCAAGGTCAAGGACAGCACGGCGTGAGGCAGTAGGGCCATGAGTGGTGTGCTCTGTGTGGCCGGTCCCTGGAGGCTCCTTGACCAGAAGGCTCGGCCATGGAGCATGCCTGTGGTTCAGGTCCTGCCACTAGGGGCACCACAGAGCTGTCCTGGGGTCTGGCTGCAGGCTCCCTGGCTGACAGCCTGGGTGGGTGGCCTCCCTGAGTCTCCCCTGCCACCTCTGCCAAGGGCAGAGCATCTTAAGAAAGCTTTTGAATTTCTCAAGTGTGATGTTAGCTGTAGGTTAATTATAGATTTTCTTTGTTGAGTTGAGGAAGTTCTCTATTTCTAAGTTCCCAAAGAGGCGTTTCTTAAATTATCATAAATTGGTGTTAAAATTTGTCAAATGTTTTTTCTGTGTCTATTGATGGGAACTTGTGATTTTCCTTGTTTAGTCTGTTGACGTGATGGATGACATAGTTGATTTTCAGATGTTGAACCAGCCTTGCATGGCTGGAATAAATCACTTGGTTGTGGTATTTAATTCTTTTTAAACATTGTGGCTTTGACATGCTAATATTTTGTTGAGGATTTTTGCATCTTTGTTTATGAGAGATACTGGTCTGCAGTTTTCTTGTAGGCCCTTTAGTTTGGTACCAAGGTGATGCTGACCTCATAGGATGAGTTGGGGAGTATCCTCTCAGCTTCTTTCCTCTGAAAGGGATTGTAGAGAACGGGTATAATGCCTTCCTTAAAGTTTGACAAAATTCACCTCTGAACCCGTCTGGGTCTGGTGCCTTCTGTTTGGGAAAATTATCTAATTATTGCTTCAATTTCTATTTCATATATAGGCCAGTTCACACCATATGTACCTTGTGTATTTTGGCAAATGGTGTCTTTCCAGGAATTAATTGGTCCATTTCATCCAGGTTAATCTGTGGGTGTAAAGTTGGTCCGAGTATTTCTTACTGTCTTTCTAATGTCTATGGGATCTGTAATAAGGTTTCCTCTTTCATTTCTGATATTAGTAATTTGTGTCTTCACTGGTTTTTTTTCTTAGACTGGCCAGAGGCTTATCAATATTACTGATCTTTTCAAAGAAGAACCAGCTATTGGTCTCATTGATTTTTCTCTATTTCTTGTGTTCAGTTTCATTTACTTCTGCTCTAATTTTTATCTTTTTTTCTGCTTCCTTAGAACTTATAATTTTCTCTTCAAGTTTCCTGAAGTACAAGCTTAGATTATTGATTTTAGGTCTTTTTTCTTTCCTAACACATGCATTTAATGCTATAAATTTCTTTCTAAGCACTCCTTTTGCTGCATCTCACAAACTTTGATTGCTGTATTTTCATTTTTATTTAGTTCAAAATATTTTAAAATTTCACTTGACATTTCTTGTTTGACACATGTGTTCTTTAGAAGTATGTCATTTAACCTACAAGTGCTTAGGGATTTTCCGTTATCTTTCTGATACTGACTTCTAGTTTAATTCCATTGTGGTCTGAGAGCAGATGTTATATGATTTCTGTTCTCTTGAATGTGTTAAAGTGTGTCCTTAACCCAGAATGTGGCCTCTTTTTTGTTTGTTAATCCTCACCTGAGGGTATTTTTCCATTGATTTTTAGAGAGAGTAGAAGAGAGAGGTAATGACAGAGAGAAACATCGATGTGAGAGAAACACATCGATTGGTCGCCTCCACATGCCCCGACCAGGGCCGGGTCAGGGAGGAGCCTGCAACCACGGTACGTGCCCTTGACTGGAATCAAACCTGGGATCCATTGGTCCACAGGCCGACGCTCTATCCACTGAGCCAAACCGGCTGGGGCTAGAATGTGGCCTCTCTTGATGAATGTCCCCTGTGGGCCTGAGAAGAATGTGTGTCCTGCTGTCGTTGTGTAAAGTGGTCCTTAGATGTCAGTTAAACCCAGCTGACTGCTGGTGTCGTTGAGTTCAGCTGTCTCCACACTG